GAATGTTCTACATCAGTGGTCCCCAGAATTTCTGCTTAGGCCTACCCCCTCTCTTCCACTTAGACTGCACCTTTTCCATTAAAGGACAATATTTGCCCGAAATTGACTTTCCAACGCATTTTTTATCTTTATAAATAGAATATTGAATGTTTAAAAAAAAAAAAAGTTCAATAGATTAATATGCAATGATAATATGCAATGATGAAGTGAAAAGTGATTCTTTTAAATACTAAAACCGTCAGTAGGTGGCGGTAAGTCACTGTCTTAATGCGTGAGTCATCGAGTCATTTGTTCATTCAGTAACTAAGCAAATGGCTGTATTTATAAATGAATCATTGAATCAATGACTTTCGCGAACGATTCGTTCACGAAACACCGCAAAACGTCTCATGTTACTTATGTAATCATGGTTCCCTGAGTAGGGAACGAGACACTGCGTCCTCTAGGGGTCGCTATGGGGAACACCCCGTCGTGACCCGTGTCTGAAGCATACATTGAAAAAACACCAACAACACGTGGTGCAGACAGAAAATATGATTATTCTGACCTGAGATAATTTACTGAATCAACCAACTCACATCTCCTTTCTTTTCATCCATGATGACATTAAAGTCATCTGCTGCTGCTTCTGGCATTTCATCGCTGACTGTGCCGCAACCGCGATGCGATAGAACTTTTAGTGAGCTATTTTTAGAGTGTGCACGCGACGTTCCTGGACGCGGACGCGTGAGTCTGTGCCCTGCTCGGTCCTGCTCCTCTGTGGCGATGATGGCGTGCGGTTAAAAAATCATAACAAACGAATTTGAAAGTGGGGGGGACACAAACGTGATTTTGAAAAGTGGGGGGGACATGTCCCCCCTGTCCCCAGTGGAAATTACGCCCCTGATTAATAGACTAATATTAATAGGTAAATAGATTTTTTCATGCATGTAAATAAATGAGCTGTATTTGTAGAGAACGAGGCTTATGCATGTTGCATTGTCATTGAATGTTGTGTGTTTCTGTTGTCCAGGGAGGTACGCTCATTCAGTATGATGGTAAGCTTCGGTTATTGGAAATCGCCCAGGTTCCCAAAGCTCATGTAGATGAATTCAAATCAGTGACCAAGTTTAAGATCTTCAACACCAACAACCTGTGGATCTCCCTATCTGCCATAAAGAGACTACAGGAACAGAACGCCATGGACATGGAAATCATAGCCAACCCTAAGGTATGAAAACTAAAAGCTTGCAGAAACAACAGCTTGAGCATTGCATTTTAAGACATATCAAAGTATTGCAGTCAAATGAACCTGAAATTATACAGTTTCCTTTAAAAAAAATAGCCAACTAGTCATTCAGGGAACCAGACATTTGATTTTTTTTTTCACTTCTGGTTTTAATACTACTGATTAAACTGATAAAAAATAATAATAATAAAAAAGTACATTTATAAACAATTGAAATTGAAACAAACAGTTTCTGTTGGGTTTTCTGTTCTCAGTCCATCACGGGAAACTAAAGAAATTAAAGGTAACCATAAGAAGAAGTGTGTGTGTGTGTGTGTGTGAGTGTGATAGTTAGTTCAAAATTCTTAGAAGTGGGCTAAAAAGCTCTCTGTGAGGACATTCAGGGACTCCTCATTTGGAAAAAACGTATGTATTCATATATGAAGTAAAATTATTTTTCTTATTCTAGCACTGTGCCCAAACCAAACACAATACAGCGTTTTCAGTTTCCAAATGACAAGTGATCTGTCTGTTCACACATGAAGCTGGTTATGAAGAGATTGCATCTGGTTATGAAACAGTATAAAAATGCAAAGGGGGTAGCATGGAGTAATTATAATATGCATTATATAAAACCAGTAGAGTTCTATGGTATGCCCTCATTTAGATGCCAAGTAAGTGTATGTGTGTGTGTGTACACAGGGTTTCCGCGGGTCCTTAAAAAGGTCTTAAAAAGTCTTAAATCTGATTTTAAAAATCCTGCAGATACCCTGTCTAGAGTAGTACACAGTTCAGCAGAGCTCCATATTGTAGCACCATTTCTCCCCCTAAGGCACAGGTTCTCATCCAGCAAGAAATTTGAGTTTGTTCTAGATTTCTTCACATCCAATCCCTCTCGCTCCTGTTCCTGTCGACCTTATACTTTTTCTGCCTGTGTGATACCAAGACCAACTATACAATGCATTCACACTTCCTCTTAACATTAGACACTTCCATTTAACATTAGTGTCCTTCATAAAACAAGTATAAATAGTTTCTTGACAGATAACATAAATATGAACATTAAGTCAGCAAGAAATTAAAATTTGCCCTTCCTATTTTCTAAATGCATGTTATGGATGTTATTGTAAATGATTATTCCACACATTTCATTATTTATTAATTTTTTAATTTCACCTTATCATTTTTTTTAATCAAAATGTCATAACTCGATCTTTGAAATGGTGACAAATGTCAAGACTTCTCCACTTATTTTAGTCTGCATAAAACACTTTTTTCTTACAATAGACAAACTCTCATTCAAATCTGCCTCCATCCAATCAACAACTCATGAATAGAACCAAGTCCCGTCCTTCATTTTTTTTCTTTTTCAATAATTTGTTTCAATTGGATGTACATAAAAATAAAGAAGAAAAGTTCTGTTCCATCTATTTTAGGTCTAATTTTATATACAATGGGAAATATAAAAGCTTGAGACTGCACTGGAAATTTGAGGGGGTTTTCCCATTTAAACTTGGATATAAATATGTTTTAAGATGTTTTAATTTTCCTTCTCAAGTTTTAATTTCCCCCCAACAGTCACTCTTTATTTTATTGTAAAGCACTATTTATAGCTGTGCACTAGAAATCTCTGTTTTATTCTCCTGGCCATCCTCTCCTTTGCACTATCACTTCTGAAACCTTAGCTGAGAGCCTGATTCATTTATCAGGCCACTTGGGACCCTGTAACACTGCACTTCTGCAGTCTCCTTTGTATGTAGAGCGTTCACTTATGAATCAAACCCACTTACAAAACACAAGCACTATAACAAGCTAATGTTGAGACTGTGTGTTTGAGTGCCCTTTTTATACCAGACCCAATATCTCATTTGAGTAGAGATCATTTGGGGTCTAGTTCAAGGCTTGTGTGATCAGAGAGTTTGATGGAGGGTTTTACAACTGATGAAACTACTGATTAAACTGATAAAAAATAATAATAATAAAAAAGTACATTTATAAACAATTGAAATTGAAACAAACAGTTTCTGTTGGGTTTTCTGTTCTCAGTCCATCACGGGAAACTAAAGAAATTAAAGGTAACCATAAGAAGAAGTGTGTGTGTGTGAGTGTGATAGTTAGTTCAAAATTCTTAGAAGTGGGCTAAAAAGCTCTCTGTGAGGACATTCAGGGACTCCTCATTTGGAAAAAACGTATGTATTCATATATGAAGTAAAATTATTTTTCTTATTCTAGCACTGTGCCCAAACCAAACACAATACAGCGTTTTCAGTTTCCAAATGACAAGTGATCTGTCTGTTCACACATGAAGCTGGTTATGAAGAGATTGCATCTGGTTATGAAACAGTATAAAAATGCAAAGGGGGTAGCATGGAGTAATTATAATATGCATTATATAAAACCAGTAGAGTTCTATGGTATGCCCTCATTTAGATGCCAAGTAAGTGTATGTGTGTGTGTGTACACAGGGTTTCCGCGGGTCCTTAAAAAGGTCTTAAAAAGTCTTAAATCTGATTTTAAAAATCCTGCAGATACCCTGTCTAGAGTAGTACACAGTTCAGCAGAGCTCCATATTGTAGCACCATTTCTCCCCCTAAGGCACAGGTTCTCATCCAGCAAGAAATTTGAGTTTGTTCTAGATTTCTTCACATCCAATCCCTCTCGCTCCTGTTCCTGTCGACCTTATACTTTTTCTGCCTGTGTGATACCAAGACCAACTATACAATGCATTCACACTTCCTCTTAACATTAGACACTTCCATTTAACATTATTGTCCGTCATAGAACAAGTATAAATAGTTTCTTGACAGATAACATAAATATGAACATTAAGTCAGCAAGAAATTAAAATTTGCCCTTCCTATTTTCTAAATGCATGTTATGGATGTTATTGTAAATGATTATTCCACACATTTCATTATTTATTAATTTTTTAATTTCACCTTATCATTTTTTTTAATCAAAATGTCATAACTCGATCTTTGAAATGGTGACAAATGTCAAGACTTCTCCACTTATTTTAGTCTGCATAAAACACTTTTTTCTTACAATAGACAAACTCTCATTCAAATCTGCCTCCATCCAATCAACAACTCATGAATAGAACCAAGTCCCGTCCTTCATTTTTTTTCTTTTTCAATAATTTGTTTCAATTGGATGTACATAAAAATAAAGAAGAAAAGTTCTGTTCCATCTATTTTAGGTCTAATTTTATATACAATGGGAAATATAAAAGCTTGAGACTGCACTGGAAATTTGAGGGGGTTTTCCCATTTAAACTTGGATATAAATATGTTTTAAGATTTTGATAAATGTAGTATTATTATTATTATTATTATTATTATTATTAAATATAATATTTCTAGGTCACTGATCAAATATGCACATTTAAAACACTGACTGCGTGAAGTATGAATATTCCATATAATTTGTCCATATAGTTGCTAGAAAACTGTTGTTTAAAATCCTTTTCTGCCTCTCTCTCAGACTCTAGATGGGGGTCTGAATGTCATTCAGCTGGAGACCGCAGTGGGTGCTGCCATCAAGTGCTTTGAAAACGCCTTGGGCATCAACGTGCCTCGCAGCCGCTTCCTGCCTGTCAAAACCACATCTGACCTCCTACTGGTTATGTCCAACCTGTACAGCCTGGAGGCAGGGTGTCTGACCATGAGCGAGAGGCGCGAGTTTCCCTCAACTCCTCACGTCAAACTGGGCAGCTCCTTCACCAAGGTACCGCACCAAATGAAGCATTCACAACAAATGATTCGTTCAAATCGCATGGTGTTCCTCTCACACTGCAGTGTGTAGGCGTGATCTCACTAGTGTTTCAAGACAATCAAATCTGCCAGCCAGAAACCCACTAAGAATAAAAAAAATAAAAATGAGGACATCCTCATGATTACAGCTTTTGGATTCTCTAAAGAAAAATCTCTCTCAACAGACGGGTAATATACAGTCTAATACTTAAGAAGCCTTGATCCAGTTTCCTTTTTTGTCCTTCAGGTTCAGGAATATCTCACACGATTCGAGAGCATTCCAGACATGCTAGAGTTGGATCACTTGACAGTGTCTGGTGACGTCACCTTCGGAAAGCATGTCTCTCTAAAGGTAAGACCAAGGAACATCTGAAAAAAAAAACAGATTCCCCAATCAGACGTTTTTGCAGGGTGTTGTACAGTCTGATTATTCCTGCCTTCGCAGGGAACCGTCATCATCATAGCCAACCATGGAGACCGAATCGACATTCCGGCCGGCTCTATGTTGGAAAATAAAATAGTGTCCGGAAACCTTCGGATCCTGGACCACTGACGCCTTTGCGTCGTGTGACCTGGATGCAGAATCACATGACCGACCAACACCTGTCACTGTCCTCATCATCATAACCAACCACAGAGACACAATCAACATTCTGGCTAGTTCCATGAGGGGAAATAAAAGTGTCTGGGAACTTGCAGATCCTAGAGCACCAACACCTCTGTGTCATGTGACCTGGATGCCTAATCACATGACCGACCCACACCTGCCACTCTCAGAGCCTCCATCAGTGGTGCTGATCTCAGCACACAGCGCCACAAACACCTTACAACTTCCACGCCATTCCTGAGACATTTATTTTTGTAGTAGTTTGTGTATTTTTTTGTTTTAGTTTTCTGTCCTTTAGTGGTCCTCATATTTTATGTGTGTAACACAGATCTCATCATTGTGTTTAGTTTTAGTTTTTTACTCTGAGAATGCAGTATTTCTCTCATTGTATCTATGGCATCACAAACTGACCCTTCGGGGACAGCATCCTCTACTTGCTCGAAAATGTGAAAGAAAGAGTGCAAAGCAATAAGCATTCTGCAACAGTGAAGGCTGACCGTTCTGTCTTTGTGTTCTAGAACCTGTTCTAGATCCTAAACATTCTGTGGAAATGAATAAAGTGCAATATGGAACAGATCAGTAGCAGTTCACATGTCTTCATTTCTGCATAAGTGGATTTCACAGAAGTTCACTGGAAATTAAACACACCTGCTTGTTATCTACAGGAGAATCAGAAAGCGAGGGAACAAGTATGTGCACAAGGAAGGGAAAGAAAGTAAAGAGCGTCTACTATTGCAGAAGTGTATGAAGGCTGTATACAAGGTCTTCCAGACTCACTGGAATCAGGAGGTTATTGTGTTCCACTGGTCTGTTAATGTGAAAGCAGCCAAGCATTAAGCTAGCTGTTAATAACCTGCATACAAAGCAGGACTAGGGTTGGGTATCGAGGACATGTTTGACATCTAAATGTTGAACTTTTTTTTTTTTACATTATTGGAATTGAAACTATGAACTGCTAAGAATTGGAATTGATGAGCAGAATCGGAATCGATAAAATTCAAACGATACCCAACCCTAAGCAGGACACATGCACACAATGGTGATTTAAGATCAAAGAGGTCCTGAGATTGTTGTCACAGCCGACAATCAGCTTCTGCTCTGACAAAATGTGAAACTATATACTGTACAAACGACATGGCCAAAAGTATGTGGCCACCAGGGATGCACTTGTATTAATCCCAATAATTAAATTCTGTATTACTTTGTCTAAATAAATTTAAATTAAATCACTAAAAATAACACTTAATTATTTTAAAAGCTACAAGTGAATTTAGGCAACATTATAATGTATAATATGAAAAACTGGTATTTTAAGATTTGCTAAAGATTCCATTTAACAGTGTTATTCATTTACTGGTGTTTTTAAAGATTAACTTTAAGTGAGTGTTAGATGACGACAGTAATCTAAATGTAGTAAAAATAAGGAAATGAGCATACACAATTAAATAACCAACATTGTACAAATACTGATAAATGAAGAATCTGTAATATTCATCTGTATTATCAGCATTCTCGATGGATCCTCTACTCCAGACTACAGTGTGTTGGAATGAAAACAGTTCCTGTCACAAATCCTTTTCTTATTTTGCACCATAACGGAACCACATGGGGATGAAATGTTTTTTTGGCAAACACTGTAATAGTGTCACAAGATGAACTCATTAGAAGCAAAAACAGGAAATAGGTCTGACACATCCTCCTCTGATGTGCTGACAACAACTGCTTTCCAGAGTCTGGTGGTAGTTATTAGTAGTTCGTAGGGGTCTAACCAGAAAAAAACTTGAATCATTTGCACTTGAATGCATGAGGCAAATTTGCTCGTTCAGTAGCACAAAATGTACTTAAAATCAAATAGCCTCTATTCTTTAGAGGTGTGAATATTATTTAAAGGGTAATGATTCAATTACAAACAATTTTCTATGCATCACAATGCATCTTGTCCTTTAGGTCTTTTATCAATACACACTAGGGTGTTTCAGTAGTCATTACTATTACTAGTTAAATACATTTCCGTAATATAGATGACAGATGCTGCTGAACATTTAACTACTATTTATTTGCAAAATTGAACCATAAAATGTACTTTGCAAATTGCAAATTAATAATAATGTACAAGTAATTTAATCAACTAATTAAATATAGCTTCAAAACATCCAAGTAAAAAGTAAATGACAAAAACAATACAACATGAGCAATAAACAAACCATCTAAAGAGTATCTAAACATTTTCCGGACAAGAGCAATGAGTGATTTTTCACTTTTTGCATCACACTTTGTTGCTGTGGCAGTGATGGGCTAATATTATTGATGTTGACATGTAAATGCATCTACCACAAATCACAAATTAAATCCAGAAACATCCTAATTCAAAATTCCACCATCACTGAGCACAATCCATTTTGCTGCTCCAATAATAACAATCCGAGTGAAATCACTATCAGTTTCAGCTGAGAACACCTCTGAAGACATACTGTTAACTCAGCATGACTATATGGGGTTTCATTATGTTGTTTCAGGTCAGTAATGAGGGTTATGGGGACTATTAACCTCAAATGCCATGCTGACACACATTTTGCTTTAGGGGCTCGTATATGAAGCAAGACGAACAAATGGAAGTGAAGAAGAGGGTGTGAAGATGATTAAATAGACTAAGAAAGTGGGAGAGAAACGTCTGCTGTCAGACTGCTACTAATCTATTTACAACGTTTAAATTGCTTGCAAACAAATGAGAAAATTGATTTTTTTAATTAAGAGTGAGTAATGAGATATTGTCATCTTTTTCTTCTTTTGTGAGCACTATAAAGTTTGCTCATTAACCTGAGGTGCTTAGTAAAACAGAGGCCTTGTTTGAGGGAGCTTTGGAAAAGCATCCATGTTTCAAACTCTAATCTAGCTTGGGGTTGTCTATGTTGGCTCCTTAAACGGAAAATATTATATAATTGGTGCTGTTTTTAATCTTATTTTATGGGTTGCCTCATAAGTGGCACAATCAAAGGTTTGGTGGGAATTTGGGTTTTGTACTCACATCTGTGTTGTTGATCCATCAAACACACACTGCTGTTGTAGTACTGTATCCCTCAAGGCCATCACATGACTTGATTTTGGCTGCTGCCCTCATTCTGCTGAAGGAGAGGCCACTTATGTAAGTACAGACCTATCAAAACGCAAAAAAAAAAAAAGTCTCTGGTGAGAAACTTGAGCCTAGCTTTGCTATTCCAGACTTCCTTGACTGTTCTAACTCCATAGATTAAAATGCCAGAACATACCCCATCTGATCTGGGGTCAACTAAAATAAACTTCCCTCCCAGCCCCTTACAATTTTAGGCTGGGATATTTGTATTAGTGTACTGACATACAAATCTCTAATTGATTAGTGTAAGTCTCATTTAGGCTATAAGTCTTTTTACTAGGGCCTTCACCTTAACAGCTTCGAAGAAATAAGAAGTCAAGACATTAGGAAAAGTCTTATTATGCTGCCACCCTGTGGCCGCCTTGTTGGCTACCGCTTTCAAAAGGTAATAGAACTTTAATTGAATGGTTGAAAGAATTAAAATAATTCGCAAAAAAAAAAGAGGCCTGGATCTGTATAGAAAGAGAACATCATTCTAGCAGTAAATTAAAGTAATTTAAAGTATTTATTCTACTAGAAACAACACAAAAACAAAAAGTACAGAAAGAAATATAGGCTAAGTAGCTTTGTGATAATGTATTATTTTACATTATCAAGCTAACAGTTACTTATATTACTTCCTGTACTTTATCTCTCTAAAACATTTCGGTGAAGCAGTATTATACGTATTATTCGTGCAGTGTGGTATTGTTCAGTTCAATAAACAAGTTAATATTGAGTAACTTACATTTTAGGCACTTTATGGACAATTACTTTGTCTGTTTTTGCACCGTCATCACAGCACGCTAACCGTTGCTTAGACTTAGACTTCCTAGCAAAACACAGCAGTGGCGTTTAGTTTCTGGTTTGAACGAATCGGTTCAATGAATGATTCAATAATTCACACATAATTATTGATCGACACCGGCGGAACGATGTAACTATGATTAATTAACCACAATTCATTTTGTCATTCCAGGGGCCAGTTGCATAAACTTAGTCACAATGTTAAGACTGCATGTGTCTTAAGAACTTTAACTAGTGATTAACCAAGTAGTAATCAGTCTTATTTTTCGAATTTAAATTAGACCAATCTACAATTTTATGTAGCCTACTGAATTAAAAAAAGTTATTAGCAGTCTTCAAGAAAAAAAAAATAGATGGCTAAATTTATATATCTAAATAGTTTATGCAACCGGCAGAAATTTCGAGAACTGTATGTTTAAAAAAAAAAAAAAAGGTGGAAAAGAGAAAAAAATATAATAAAAAACAATATTAAGTATTAATTATCTGAATTTAAATAATTTTAAGTCATCCATGCCTGGTTGAGAACCACTGTTCTGTTGTTAAAGTCTGCATGAAACAGAAGTAGCGATTGTCTTTTCTTCTCTACTGTGACCTCTATCCGAGTGAAAGGGCATCTGAAAGGAGAGGGCGGGACTTGATTTCCTCCTTCAGGAATTGATTTGATCATTGGAAGTTGGGGCGTTGCTAACAAAATTGAGGTATATCTGAATGCCAGTTTGCACTTTGCAGTTAGTTGTGGGGGGATTTCTCTCCACTGGATTCACCGCCAACACCCTTGCATGAAGAAATTTTTTATTTATTGAGGAAGACGAGGCGATCAACGGCACAAAACATGCCTAACAGCGCGCGAGCGAGCTAGAGAGAGAGAGAGACTGCCTGAATTACTGAATTACCTCCATCAGGTTAAGTCATATTCATTAAAAAATTGTTTGCATGTCCTAAGTAATGTTGTGGTAATGTCCTAATATCCTAAGGGTAGTGTAGGGGAGAGCGGGGCACAAAGTAACACTTTTTGACTTTCTCAGTTTGTGTAAATCCACATGGGGTTCAGAATATAATTTTTTTATCCACAGTATTTTTACACTTGTCTAGTACAAATATGTCGCTTTGTTTCATGATTACAGTGTATACGTTTTTCTTTATTTACCGTCAAAAAATGGAAGTGAAATGTGACAACATGCCCCGTAGGTGGGGTACATTGTAACATCTGAGGGGCACGTTGTAACATGACCATATGACAGCTTTCAATGTTATCTGATCGAATGAAAAAAATATACAAGGCAAACTAAAATATTTTGGTAATAAAATAAAATAATTATTTTTTTCAAATAAAATAGTGGCATTTTTTAAGAATTAAAAATAATCTGATTTTGGAGTTTGACAATGAACACATTGCAATCATGCTTGGGACGGCCCACATAAACGAGCAAAAATGCTTTACATGTCTTGAAATAGTAATTTCTAAACACTAAACATTGACTGTCAGTCTTTATTCATCTGTTTCTCGTTGTTTCTCATTACAATTCATTAAAGTAAATAGTGTAAATTACATGGCTAATGTCATAGAATAGCACATTGTAAAGCAGTGTTACAACCTATGGTTACAACGTGCCCCATCTGCGCAACTGGAGTTTAAAACTAGTTGCTGTCTTCTGCTAGATAGCAAAGCATTAAAAAAC